CGAAAAAATCCTCTTGGAATTACGGAATTTTGGCCTAGCAAATGCACGGAAGCAGCGATGCTGTGGGAGCATTGGATTACACGTTTTGCATGGGGCGTAATAGCAAAACACTAATTCAATCCGACGGCATTCTTTTTTAGTCGGGCGCTAAACGCGGCGCAAATTGCAGATCTGCCAGAGGAGGTTAATGGAAAAAATCGATCGTTTGGAAGCGTAGCAGACACTAATTTCTAACCTTTATTTGTGCTTGGGGGAACGTGGACAGGACGAAGTACATAACCGAAAACCCCATTTGGACCTGGCTACTAACCGATATCTTCGGGTTTTGGATGAAATTGAGAGTGTCTTCAAGAAGGAAAGAAACGAAATGTTCGAGGCGTACTAGCTACTATCTCGAAAACAACTTGACGGGGAAACGTTGAAAGAGTTTCACTCCGTATTGAGTGGACTAACCGCTAGATGTGCGTTAGCAGCGCTGAACCGACGCGTGTTGCGTGATGTATTTATAGTTAATATGTCTAATAAGGAGGCTCAAACGGAACTATGTCGTTCGACTAAGACACCGGATGAGGTCTACCAAATTGCTTTGTCATACGAGAGGAGTGACAAATACGCCAAATCGTATAAAATATCTGGTGGGGGACTTACAGCAGCGCCAGCGGGGTCACTACAAAGAAAAGCGGAGCCGATAAGTGCAATCAGAGGAGAATATTGTCGACCGTTTCAACGAGGTGGACGTGGATTCGGCAGAGGAGGCACGAGGGGCCGCGGAAGAGCGGATCGCAAGTGTTATAATTGTGATCAGAGTGGTTTTATCCCGGATCATATTCCAAAGTGTCCTGCAAGAAATGCAACCTGCAATTGTCGCCGGAAAACCGGGAATTATGAGCGAACTTGTGGAGGACGTCGATCGGCGAATAGGGGTCGTGTGGGCATGATAAATGTGGACGGCACCGATGGTGGGCTTGTGCAAGATTATCCGGAGGAGAGTGCGTCCAACTACGGAAGTTCCGTTGGATGGGTAACTGATTCAAAGGCACCAGCACACGGAAGGGACTCGGATAGTTCAACGGAGTACGTTGTTATGTCAATTCGGCGGAAGGAAGAGGAAGAACTGAGAGTCGCGGGGGCAAAGCTGGCCTTAAAGATCAATGGTAAGGCAACTCAAGCCTGGATTGATAGCGGCTCGCCAATATCTATCTTTACTATTGGGGAACTGAAACGTACCCTGGGAGCATGTAATGTACAGTTGAAACCGTTGGATCCGAAAGATGAACAGTTTCAAGACTACGGCAAAAATCCGTTCAAATTTCTGGGGAAAGTGCAAGTTACCCTTCATTCCAACGAATGGACCAGCTCGGCGGATATCAATGTCATCGGAGGGTGTAGACCGTCTATTATCGGCAGGGCTTTGATGCCAGCACTGGAATGATGTTGGTACAAGCCCCGCCGGCGAAGGGGGTGCACAGCATACATTCACATGGAGGAACTGTGGAGACGAACGATGATTTGGAAGGTTGGCAGAAACATTTCAATAGGCAATTTCATCATCTTTTTCGCAGGGTAGGACGTATCCGCAATTATAACAGTGCAGGCAAAATTCTTCGAGAATTTAATTCCAATCCAACAAAAGGGTAGGCGAGTGCCCATAACATTACAAGAAAAAGTTGATAAGGAGATTGAAAAGTTTTTGGAACAAGGTCACATTCAGAAATTGCAAGAATGTTCGGATAAATATTTTGTTTCACCTATTGTCAACACAGTGAAAAAGGATGATTCGGTCAAACTTGCATCGGAATCAAGAGAACTGAACAAGCAAGTACACAAAAATAAATACCAAATGCCCAATATTGAAGAACTAATGGACATTGTAGGGCAAATAATCAGCGAACGTAAACAGGGGGATGTTTTTTTACAACATTGGATCTCACGTACGCATACGGACATACTTTTTATTGATGCATACAAGCTATCAATTTTCTGTGCAATATGTGACCGATTGTGAGCGATATGTGTGCAAAATGTGACCAAAAATTTAATTGTGGTAGTTGGATTTGGAAAAATCACCGACCCGATTACTGATGATGGTTTTTCTACGGTTTGTTTCTTCAAAAAATTTAACTCGCGAGCTATGTACAGTTAAAAGAATACAAATAAAATTTATACATATTTGATTATTCGGCAAGTTAGGCTGAAAAAAGAAGCATGTATTTGGAGTATACCTGATTCGAAATCAAAAATATCATTTCAAAAACTAAAACTTGGATTGAACGTTTCGCTAGAAAAGGTGAAGTCAGCTACAGTTTCCTGTTCACAATTTTAGTCCAAACAAACTACAAAAAACAATTAAAACTTTAGACAGAAAAAAAAAATTAACAGATAATTTCTCGATTTAAAAATGAGTTTTGCTAAGGCTGATGGGTAAAACGAGAACTTTTAAGCCCAAAAATGGCTAATTTTCAGCTCAACTCAAAACAAAATTATCTTTTTTTATTTTTCTGAAATTATTTACATGCTATTTTCATCGTGGGTTAGACTAGCCAATTAGGTTCGTTTAATTGACTTACTTTAATCAGTTTTATCTGTTGTTAACTTCACAACTTTTGGCAACATATTCCCACTGAGTAGAAAGTTTCGAAGTTCATTGAAAACTGTGGAATTACGGTGGCTAGAAAAGAATAAGACTAAAATTTTGTGAATTAGAATTGATTATATATCTGTTGAAACTTCGCATATGTGATGACGCATCAATTCAATTTAGAATGATTTTTTGGCTTTTGATGCGAGTTGTCGTAAAAACTTTTTGGTCTTAATTTTTCAGAAAATGCACAAAAATGGTTCTTTTGAACTGTTTGTTTTCTTAATTTGTAGCGTAGAAAATTTTGTGATATTTTTGGAGAGCAGGAGAAAACAATTGTTTTGACCTAAAAAACTATGACAAATTTTTCAAACTTTACTAAAGTCCGCCTTCACTAAAAACACTCCATAATATTAGTCAATCCAATTAAACTAACAAACATGGTCAGGCAGCTCAATCAAAACTTCCAGCAGATAAAATTTTTAGCCGAAAACAGTAAAACGTTAAGCTTTGCCTAATAATAAAATTATTTTCAAGTCACATAGTAAGTTTTTCTCAGACGAGAAAAATTCAAAAAATGGCTCAGCAGATTAAAAGCTTTCTTGTTTTGGTCATGTCGGCCGGCAAATTTATCTGCTTGAAATCTTAATAAAAATGCAGGAGCAGGACCATGTTATTTGAATTTGAGTGTATGAATTGCGAATCGGATTCAACCTTTATTAATTTGAATTCAAGAAAGATGAAGAAATACTGATTTTGGGCCGTTTAGTGCATAAGACACATTTATATGCATGATTTAGAAAGTGGCTTTTGCTTACCTTATGAGTTTTGACCATCGCTATTTTTTTTAATTTACGACATTTTCTGATAGATGCAAGTGGTTCATTTTTAATTCCCAAAATAGACCAAATTGTCGAAGAATTTCTCACTATCAACTTGTGATAGAGGTTTAAGTTATCTGTACAAAAATATAGAAGTGATATTGAGAATATGAAGAGCAACGAAAGCCTTCTAAAACTGCCGCAATTCATTATAATGATGCGTTTTTCCCGTTTTGCTTAAACGTTGTAAAAGTTCGTCAAAACTTCAATCAAATGCTATCAATGAATAGACGCTGGGAGCGACAAAGCTCATAAACATCTGCTCAAAAATAGTTTCATAAGAGTGATTATCTTTCAAAAATCTAAACAAATCTTTTTGTCTTTTGTACTCAATGTTTTTTTTGCAAGTAGTACCTTGTACTCATTTTTATAAACCTAAACTCAGAGTCACACAATGTTTCTCTCAATTCATAGATCTCGTGCTGAGATCTCGCTTCTGTCGTGTACACCTCGAAACAATGCACTAGTAGCTCGATGCAACTTTAAAACGTGCTCTATAAACAGTACTTACGCATTATTTGACTTAATGAAATGTGTCGCCATTAAAACATGACAACTTTAAGTTAGATATTTGCAACTAAGCCTTTAAGCACCTCTTTCTTAAATAATTGGTATATAATCCTAGCTTCGAAGTAATGAAAGTTTGCTGAAAATTAAAACGGTTAGTTCTTAAATTTGAAAGCGAGCGATCAATCGGTGGTAGGTCAATAAACCGATGTATCAGTAAACCGAAAACGGGCGGATCAGATCAGTGAACCGAAAATTCACGTTTTCAGATTAGCTAAAAGCTGAGATTTGTACAAAATGTACAAATTTTTTCCTCAAAACAAAAATTGAATGAAAAAATGAAAAGAAATCACTTTTTCCCATAAGCCCCATAGTTTTAAATTTATTGTTCTAGCTCAGGGAAAGTTTATTCTATAAACCTTCAATTCTGCAATGTAACTTTTATTGGTTAATTCGGTTTATTGTTCTGGTATTTACAATGCATTTGCAACGACCTGTAGTATTTGAGAGATATATTCACAAATGATATACTGAAAGCATCAAATTTTTAATTTTTGGCAAGAACTTGAAAGATGCTTATTTTCAAAGGTAATTTCTAATTTGTTTTTGGAAAGTGATTGCTGGAGTTGCTGGAGTTATTACTCGGGGGCGGAACAATGAGAATGATCTAGCAGCAGAAACTCAGCCAGGTTGACCTCCATAGCAGGCGGGTTGACCCCCATAGGCCGAAAATTCTAGTCATACATTTCCATGCTCTTAATCTATGACAATTTCTAATTAAACAAAATTCTTAGACTTTTGCTAAACTGGTGTAAAATTTGCTGTATCGTCATTACCAGAAGAGAAAAAAATTTGGCAAAACATTTTTTACCACTCAGCTTTCATAAATGGATGTTGTATGACTTTTTTTTGATTTTTTACAAGTGCAAAAAGTCTTTTGCACTCTAACAAATGCTTTCCAAATTTGCGTTTGCATGCTTTATTTTTTTGAAAGTAGTCCTGGATACACATAAAAAGCATTTTTTTCCGTTTTTCTTATTAAATTTTTTGGCGGAAACATTCAAAAAAAAAGTTTTTAAATTGTATTGAATTTTTTTGTATGACCTAAACAAGAATAATTATTTCAGAAATTCGAATTAGAAATACTTGAATTTTCGGGAATTTTTGCTAAAATTTAGAAGATTGATTATTTTCGTAATATCATTTGCGTAAGCATTTATATTCAGGTCGTTTCCAAAGCATTGTACATGAAGACCCTTAAATTTTTGGTGACTGAAAGTCTGGGTACCCAGGTTATTTGTCAACTGTGTTTGGCTATAAACACAAACCAAAAAAATTTGAAAAAAAAATATATGTAGAAATAAAAAACAAGTTTTTTGTGTTTGATAAAAGGATGATTATACAGTTTTTATAGGTAGAAAAAAAACTGCCTATAGATCTTTCATGCTAACATCTGCACCATGGGATTCCTTGGAAAACTTGTGATTACCATTTTACCGTAAAAAAAGAAATTGCAGGATTGGCTTTTTGGTCAAGCATGGAAGGTCTAAGAGCAAAAAAATCAAAAAATTTAATTTTGTTGGACTGATTTATTGGACTGATTGGTAAAAAACAATTATTTGAATTGTCAAAGTTATATTTGATAGAAAAAAAGTATACATTAATTGAGTAATTTCCCTTAAGTTGTTTTCTTTATAGTTTTTAGAAAATTCAGTTCACTTACTCAATTTATGTATAGTTTTATTTCTTTCAGTGATGATATCGGGGATTCTCTTACTTGTTTCATCGACTCGTATAATTCAACAAATGTTTGCTTATCTGCCCATAGACTTCTTCTGCTTTTTAGACCATTCTGCTCATTGACCAACTACCTTAAAAATTCTATTATTTTTTTAAGTTGGAAAGTTGCACGCATAACTAATTTCACAAGTATTTGATCGCCCAAGAAAGCTAAGACAAAACAGGACCACTCGTATATCAGGGCAAAAATTTTGAATATTCCAAATACCCCATAATTGGAAACGAAAAAAATTTCGAAAAACTAAAATTTGAACAACCAAAAGTTTTGCACAATTTCAAACATCAAGTTTGAAAACTTTGATATATGAAAAAAAATCAACACGAAGCCGATTAGCTTGCCCCAATTCGGTTCGAAACGATTTTGTATTGCGGGATATTTTGTCACGCATAAAAAATTTACGTTACGATGAATAAAAATTTCACAGTGCTCTTGAATTAGCCCAGAGCATAATCAAATTAACAATTTTTTGAACCCTCAGAACTTGAAAAAAAATTGGAGGTGAAATATTTGAACTCAGGCAGACGATATCTTCAATGGGGTGTAATTTTTTTTGTTAAAAACTATTATTTCGATCGCGAAAATGACTGCATAAATAAACCAACTTAAACATAACTTTCCGCTTTTTTCTTTGAAAGTCGGAACAAAAAAAAAACGAAACAGGACTTTTTTGGTGTAGAGCTGAAAGTTGGAAAAAAATGATTGCTGCATTTTTGAATAAAACATTTTTTTCAGATCGATACAAAAACGCTTTTTTCAAACAGCTACAAATCAAAGTGTCTTTTTAAAAACTTAGCTAATATTCTTGATGCTACTTGATTATTTCAAATAGTTTGAAGCCTAAATCAGACTTAAAAATAATGCTGTTTTGCAATTTGTGAAGTTTTTACATGTGATGGACGATCAAAGTGGAAGTAGAGCTGGTTATGACCCCCCAAATGACTCACTGGCAACGAACGAGGAGCAGACTAATGATGTTTCTGGAGCCAATAAGGAAACCAAAAAGGAACTCAAAAACTAAATTCTATTCGTTCACTTCCAGCCGTCGAATAATTTCGATTTTTCAAATTGTGCGTCTCACGACCCCCCCCCCCCGCATTCGTCATTAAATTGCAATTTACTAGCAACCAGCGCCGCGCGCATTTATATGGAAGAGGGAAGAGGGGGGGGGGGGGGGGCTGGACTGTTACTTAAAAAAATTCGTTGGGTTTTTGCTTTTAGAATCTTGCTTCCAAAGCAAGTCCAATATCTACTTATTCATACAAGTATTTGAAGAAAAGTAGAAAGAAGTGTTTTGAAATAGAAAAATTAAAAAAAAAAACATGATGACGATGAGTACGTAATGATAAATTCAGAAAAGTTATTTCTGCAAGGAAAATGCCCAAAATGTGCGAAATTTTGACAAACTTGATTTTTATCCGACCAGCTCCCTTGAGGTAGCACAAAATGTTTCCCACTCAAATGAGACCCTTTTTGTCTCCTCTCTCCTGTCTAGAATGTATCCGGAGTGAAAACTTACCACCTGTGGTCTATGGGGGTGGGGGGCTGTAATTGCAGGCGACTTCTTTGGGGTGGCAATCTTCACTTGCTGGCGGATTTCTCGGTACTGCACTTTTCTGTTCAACTGGACAAAATTTTTTAAGCAAACTTTTTTAAAATGGTACATATTTGAGAAAAAATTGACCATGAAAAAAATTGCTAAAAATACTATAATAATAAAATTGATAAAAAATAATAATCATAATAAAATTTTTTCCATTTATTGATCCCGCACTACCTCCCTTCAAAGTGTTTTCTGTCACGCCCACTTTTTTGAAAATTCTGAAGAACAAGAATAGGTTATTTGGCACTCATAAAAAATTTGTTTTCAACAAGAACGAGTGCAAAAAATCAAACTGCAAAACATTTTGTCAGCTGCTTCCTAAAAAGCAACTTTGAGGCGGACACTGAAAAAAAAAATAAAAAACAAGTTAAAATAAATAACAAAAAAAAATTGATTCAAATTTGAGCTGTTGAAAGGACACTAATGGGCTCAAACTTTAAGGCATTCAGTTCTTCTGCTATG